TGAGTCATAGGCTGGGGGTGGGGGGTGGGATGGCACCTGGACACCTGGGTCCGGTGTGGGGGGGAGGTAGGGAGCCCCAGGCCTGACACCTCCACCCTGCCCGGCCCCGCAGGTGGTGGACATCATGCGGGTGAACGTGGACAAAGTGCTGGAGCGGGACCAGAAGCTGTCGGAGCTGGATGACCGCGCGGACGCTCTCCAGGCTGGCGCCTCCCAGTTTGAGACCAGCGCCGCCAAGCTCAAGCGCAAGTACTGGTGGAAGAACCTCAAGGTACGGCCCCGCTGCAGCCCCTCGCTCCTGACTTGCAGCCCCCTGCCCCCCTAGCCCTGCCAGTGCCCCTCACTCCCGACTCGCAGCCCCGTTTCTTCCTGCCGCACTCACGGTCTCTCTCCTGCAGATGATGATCATTCTGGGGGTGATATGCGCCATCATCCTCATCATCATCATCGGTGAGTCCTGCTGGGGGAGGAGGGGGGTGGTCCAGGAAGCCCTGGCAGGGGCCCCCAGTGCTGGCTGCATCTCAGCCCTGGGCCAGGGTCTGTTATACTAGGCTGTGACCCACCTCAGAGCTGACTGCATCTCACCCTTGACTCAGGGGCTGTTATACTCGTCCTGACCCACCCCAGAGCCAGTTGCATCTCAACCCTTAGTCACAGCCCTTTTATACATAGCCGGGACCCACCCCAGAGCAAGCTGCATCAAACCCTGGGTCAGGGGCTGTCATACTCAGCTATGACTTGCCCCAGAGTCAGCTGCATCTCAACCCTGGGTCACAGCCCTGTTATACTCAGCCAGGACCCACCCCAGAGCCAGCTGCATGTACCTCAGCCCTGCCCCGTGGAGCTGACGGCTGCCCTCTGCTTGCAGTGTACTTCAGCACCTAGAGGCCCCGTGTGGTGCCGGCCCAGCCCGGCCCGGCCGTCTCTTCCAGCCCTCGTGCGTGTGCGTGCGTGTGCGTGTGCCCCCTCCGCGCCCCCCCTCCTCCCCCCCTGGCCGTCTGTACATACCGGGTTATTTATACACACATAGAGCTGCTCTATTTTGTCCGTTTGTAGATTTATTAATAGGTTTTTAGGTGTCCCTCCCCTCCCCTGCTGTGTTTTTAATTGTCTTTTAATTGCCCCGCCCCCCCAGCCACCCCCCTAGTGGGGGAGGGGGTTCCGTGATACTGCCCCCCTTGTCCCACCTCAGAGGTGGCTGCATCTCCTGCCGGGCCGCGGTCTCCTCCCCGTCCCCCAAGTTTCTGTGACATTCCTGATTGGACCAAGGGGCGTGGGGGAAGCCCCCCCTGCACCCACCCCCTTAATGGGGGCATTTTCTTCCTGCCACACAGATCTAGCCTGCCCAAACTACCCCTTTTAGAGTGGACACATTCCAACCCCCCCCCGCCCTGGTGTTGGGGGGCTGGCCTGGCTTGGGTGGGTCCCCTGTTAATCCTTTGGTGGCCAATGTCGGGGGGCACTAGGGTCCCTGGTGGCCAGCAGGGGGTGCCCCAATCCTGCCCCCCTTCGTGTGTTGTGGTGGTGAGTGCCCCCCCCCCTAGCAGATGTCAGATGTGACTCGTGACTTTGTCCCTGTGATGACTTCGCTGGACCCGCGCTCCGGGGGGGCGGAGCCCAGGGGCATCCCCGCCGCTGCTGCGTGGAGGGACGTGGCACCGGGGACCCCCTGGGCAGGCGCAGGGAAAGGGGGAGAGGGGGGCTGGGCCCCCAGCAGGGGGGTGGGTGTCACTGTCACCCCCCTGCTCTTGGGGCTCCCCTCAGCAGGCAGGCAGGCAGGGGCGGAGGAGCCGGGAGCGACGTGATGCTGTGAAAATGTACAATAAATTGGTGTCCTGTGGAGAGCACTGCCTCTGGTCCCTCTGTCCAGCCCACCTGGGGATGCTGCCGCCTCAGCCAGAGGTGGCAGCATTGGGGCCTACCCTGGCAGCACCATCATTGTCCTCCAACTACAGCTGGGGCCTGCTCCAGCCTCAGGAAGGGGTCCCTGCCCTCTGCTTAGGTATGGGGGAAGCCTTTGAATTGATCTGGACTCCCCTCATCTGGAGAACCCAGGCGTCCGGGCCTCTCACGCATGGAACCCAGGCAGCCAGGTGTCCAGGGAAGCACGCCCAGAACCCAGCGTGAGCAGATGCCTAGGTCCGGGGGTGCGGGGGGTTGGTTGGTTGGTTGGTGCTGAGGCCTGGACAGCTGGATCCTGCGCATAGGGGGAAGCTGGTGCTCAGATCTCAGGCATCAGGGATGGTCACACACGCGTGCACGTGGACCTAGGAGTTAAGGCTTCTCACATGCACAGAACCCAAGTGTAGGGGATTGTCACACACATACACTTGCACATTGAACCCAGGCATCCGGGATTCACACGCCCATGGAAGTGCAGGGTCCAGGGCACAGAGAACCCAGGCATCTGGGCTCCCCACCTAGGGCTGTGGACCAGCCACACACACCCTGGCCAGCTGGGGGTGGGGGCAGCGGGCAGGGAGAGCTGGGACACCTGGGTTCCCAGTCCAGGTTGGTGGGTGGGAGTTGGGACACCTGGGTCCCTGTGGGGTGGAGATTCACACGCCCATGGAAGTGCAGGGTCCAGGGCACAGAGAACCCAGGCATCTGGGCTCCCCACCTAGGGCTGTGGACCAGCCACACACACCCTGGCCAGCTGGGGGTGGGGGCAGCGGGCAGGGAGAGCTGGGACACCTGGGTTCCCAGTCCAGGTTGGTGGGTGGGAGTTGGGACACCTGGGTCCCTGTGGGGTGGAGGAGAGGTTGAGGGCCTGGGGGGGGCCTGGATGCCTGAGAGGGGG